GGAAAAATGTAGAGGACAGAAATTTGCTTTTTGTACTTGCTGTCATCTTCTTCTGAGATCGCAAGTGCTCTTTTGACATTACTATTTCTTATTATTAATCTATTTATTTACAGCATTTCACTTCCACCTCATTACGTGTGCAGTCAGTGAATGTATTATGAAAAAGAAAAAAATTGATTAGTACACATCAGTAAGCGTCAAGTGCAAGTTTCACTAAAATTACCTTTATGTCTACTATGTAAAGAATCAAAGTCTACGTTGTTAAACTCATCATATACTACAGGTCACATTGTCTTGTATTTAAGAAACACTGTGATGGATACAAACAGGCTAAAGCAAGAGTTTAAACTGTAACACTCCCTCTGTATTCATTTGATTCCTCAAAGGAATAAAGGGAATGCTTGCCAGAACGAAGCAACCCACAGCAAACCATGCCTGAGGATCTGAGTAACTTGAGCCAAAAGGCTTCACATAAGGCACCGATAAGAGATCGTCAGCTTTACTCTTGTGCTGTTCTGATGAAGTTTTTAAATACCAAGGCTGTTCCGAGCTTATTGTACAGCTCGGTTGCCTTTTGGATAGCTTTTGCACAGGCAGAAATTTTCTGTAGAGTTTTACTATGGAGTTAAAGAATCTTTATCTGCATTGCAGGATGAAATGTAAAGATTTTACTGGCAGAATGCAGCATCTTACACCTTTTTAAGAAGTCTTTCCAAGGCATTGCCTTAAAGAACAAAACAAACAAAACTCCTCAAAACCCATCTGCTTCAGTAATGCAAGGCGAGGTACGTTCATACTGATACTGCCCCAACAGTATGCTTCAAACGTCATCTGCAAAGATACTTTTCAGAAGATTATAGTTTAGCTTGAAACCTTAACCAAGACTGTAAAGTGAAGTTATTTGAAGAACTGGTCAAGACTGCTGCTCCTGTGCGAGTTTCCCAGAGACAGAAATAAAATAATGATCACAGCAGAAACTGTGAAAGGGAAACAGGGCTGTTGATTTTTCATTTTTTAATAACGTGTAGGCAGCCAGACAAGTGTTTTCAGGACCGGGTGCCCCGTCCATCTCCTATGAAGCCCAGCACAAGACACGACAGGCTTTGACACGGGCCGCTCAGAAGGAGCGCCGACGGGCTTCGGCAGCAGAGACGCAGCCGGCCCCGGTTCGCGTTCAGCGCTACGGTGAAGGCGACGGACGGAGCGCAGCGGCCGCGGG